AAAATTTTTGAAAAATCTAAACAGAGTCGTTCAACTGAATTTCTTAAACAACGTATAAGTCTGGAAATTAAGAGAGGTAATGCGATATCTGTTCTAGCAAAAATTCCATACCAAAAATGTTTCAACAAAGTTTTTTATATTTTGCATTGAATTTATTTTGTTAATCTTGCATTTGCAATTCAATTCATTTTCTTAAATATTCTCTTGTAGAGCTTTGTATCACTTGTGCTTCAACGGTTTGTAGTGCATTAGGGGTACAAAATTTCCAAAATTCATACAATTTCGTTCCAGTTTTTGAGTGAATGTACGGAAAGCACGCGCCGCGATTCTGCCCATTTCACCATAAATAACAATTAAATTCCAAAATAGGTGAAACCACTGCGAGTCATTTTTCGATTTTTGAAAAACTTATGTTAACCTATAACAGTGGGTGATGGATTAGTGTCACTAGATTTGTTTAAAATTCAATTGTTATAGAATCATGGCCGACTACTAAAAAAGAAAATCCTAAAAAAATAGTGTCAATTCAATAAAATGGGAATAAGTCAGAAACTGTTAAAGATAGCTATAGGAACATGTATAGTCAAAATATGCCAATTTCGATTCTCTATCTCATGCAATATTAAGAACATGGTCATTCCATTTAAAAAAACTGAGTTTTTAGTCTTTGAAGTTTCATAAATTTGGATATCCATAGGGGCGGTCGTACGCAACTTAACTTTTTTTTAAGTGTACTAAAAGAAAGCCCTATTCATTCTCTATGCACTGATAAAAATAGGTTGCCATGACTACAACCGTTTTCAAGTAATCAATTATCAAGGTACCATCTGCATCCGCCATTTTTTTCTTAAAGTCAAAATAACTTAAAAACCATAAATGGCAGATATCGACATATGGGTATCAAAAGAACTGAAATTTCACATAGAATCCAAAAATGCAATAAAATTCGGCCTTCAGAGTAACTCCTAAGTACAAATTTTCAAAAACCTACCTATTTTACTTTCCCAGAAACTTTTAACTAAAGCTCCCAAAAAAACACCCTGTATATACAAAAAAAAAACACGTACAAGGTTTAGGTTAAAGTTTCCCGCTTTCATAAAACTCGTACTTACCTTTTAAGGTGGCCAATTTGGATGAGATATGCCCAGATATGTTGTACTTGCGAATGGGGTTCAAATAGCTTCGTCAATCACATCTCGTCGAAAAACAAGTTGAATGCAATTTCCGATCGATAGTTTTTGGTCACCATCATCAATGTTTCCTGAACTCTATTGATAACATTTAGTCTCGCCTAGGAAGGGTTGTTCGCGAAATTATCGAAATCTATCCCTAGTCAAAAGATGTTTAATTTCAAGGATTTACTAGTCTAGGATTACGACAACTTCAGTCTGATTTTCAACTCTGCTGAGGTAAGAAACAAAAAAACGCATAAAAACATTAATAATGTTCTAATTTTCAGATTTTTATTGTAATTTGGAGCATCTGCCAAAGTTTCTTTCGAAAATGACAAGAATGATTAAGTTTGCTAAACTTTGCTAAACAGCGTATATCCCGAGGTATATCCATAATTTTGAAAGCGCGATTTTACGTTTTTTGTGCGTTTTCAAGGCGGTCATAGAAAAATATCATTTATGATTTCGAGATTTCTGGAAATGAAGATTTATAGTGGTGGAGTGGTCCACTCAGACCAATAGCTTTTAGAGGATGTTTAGCGTACAATATACTTTATCTGCGGTTTCCTTCGCGGTTTATATGTTTAATAGCAAATAACTTCATGTCACATTAAAACGAAAATAATCTAATTATATGTAATACCATTGAGGTGTATATACAATGGTAATACTTATGCAACATAGGACTATATCAACAGAACAAAACTACGCCCTCACATCAAAATTATGAACTAACTCTCTCATTATTTAATTGCAAAAAAGGTGGAAATGTTTTAATGTAAAACGTTATGGCATCGTACGACATAAAAAACGAATACCACAACGCAATCCCTCTAATAATCATTATTAATTAGAGTGCATCCTGCTTCTCGGAGATCCATTATATCAGGCGATTTTTATACAGTAAGCAAATACAGTAATAAATATTATTACACGGGAAAATTTGTTAATTATAAAGAAAACAAAGCCATTATTAACAAACGTAACTAACCATTTACCAATGGAGTTTTACTACTTTCACTCAAGTGTATTAAATAAGTGATCTCTAAACTTTCAGTTTCATTTTCTAATTCAAGGTGAAAATGAATATTGTAATTATAATGTAAAGAGAATGTAAAAATTGTAAATAAAGAAAAAAATGTAATGTACGCGTGGTTATTGTTTTGGAACAAAAAAATACAGACTCAATTGTATTTCTAACGGAATAACAATTAAGTAATAGTATGTGAATGAAATAATTTAAGCAATCCAGCAGTACGACAACAAAAAACAATTTGTACTCAAATTAATTTATTCAGCGCGGGCCCCTACCCAATATTGAAATACGATAAATCCAAACAATTGTCAAGGATTTCGTGCTAAAGTGAGCTTTTAAAATTAAATTAGAGACAACCTCGAAGAAAGCAATTAATTAAAATTAATCGATTTTAATTGTTTAACACTTGTTTTTTATGGTGACTTAACCATGCTTATACAGTGCGATCAATAATAAGTTGCTGCGCCGCTTCAATAAATTATCTCCCTGTAATACAACATTCCCATATTTTCAAAATTGCCCGCGTACGCCCACCTCCAATTCTGCTGGAAATCGATACGAGACATTATACTAAAGAAGATTAAAATTGTTTCAAATTAAATTAGACATCACTTCGAAGCGATGAGAAAAAGCAATATTGCGTTTGGCAGTTAGATACGTTATTGCACAAAGAAATTTTCAATTTAAAATTAACCAGTTACTTATTAATCGATTCTGCAATTCGACTTTTCACTTCAAAAGGGAATAGTGAGAAGAAATCAGTAAAGCAGAAATAATTTTCAAACCCACCCAGTTTTAATTACCACCCGCACGTTAGTAAGGAAGGCATTGGGGTAAGCTTTTTTACGTTTCGGAATCCGAAGCAAACAAAATCTCGATGATGTCGGTCGGTCTGTCTGTCTGTACTCTCATTTCCGGCTAAACGACCAAACCGATTTTGCTGAAAAGCTTTAGGACAGTCGCACATGCGCAGGTGTGCGTATCTATGCTGCCCAGAGTAAATTTTTTTAATAGAAGCAATACCTACTTCACTTCATTGTTATTAAATAGAATATATTTCGCTCTCTTTAACGATGAAGAGGTAGACGTGTTGATTGTTAACATTATGGAGAAATTAGAACAGTATATCTTTCTCTTATGACACATTTTGGACCCGTGTACGAATATTAAAATTATGGTACACCCCAGCGACACCATTGATCTATAAAGCAATACTGACTATTTAGTAACATATGTAACAGACAGGGTGTTTCTAAATATGGTGTAAATACGGATGACCTTTGGCTTATTTTATGAGTAAAATTTCATATAAACATAGGTCTCCAAACGCTTCGTTCCGATCAAGAATTTCCTGTAGTTTTTTATACTATCTTCAAATTAAAAACAGTTCGTGTCATATAATGGCTACAATTCTCACACCTTCACGCCCACATCTGGAGTACCTCAAGGATCCAATTTAGGGCCATTTTTGTTCGTGGTTTTCATTAATGACTTACCTTCGGTAATTTCTACGCAGAAACTATTATTTGCAGACGATCTGAAAATCTTTTCACAAGTTAACAGTATCTCCGATTGCGAAAAGCTTCAAATGGACCTGAACAACATACATAATTGGTGCAGCATGAATAACCTCCAGTTAAATATAAGCAAGTGTAAAATTGTCTCATACTCGCGTAAACTTAGTGACATTCAGTTTAATTACGCACCATATGCAATACGCCTTTAAACAGACACAGTGAAACAAAGGACTTAGGAATCTACATGGACAAAATGTTAACGTTCTCAACTCACATTAATAGCTTAGTTCAGCAGTCATTTAGAATTCTAGGTTTCATCATTCGTGTTAGTCGTGATTTCACTGATATATCGACCATTAAATCATTGTATATATCATTGGTTAGAAGTAAGTTAGAATATGGTTGTGTAATTTGGAATACCTCATTTAAAAAGTATGAAAACAATTTAGAAAACATACAACGTCGGTTCCTCAAATATCTATGCTTTCGTATGGATGGACAATATCCAATTAGAGGATATTCTAATGATATCATGTTAGAAAGGTTCGATCTACCTTCGCTATCTTCTAGACGTAAACGGATGGCTATTTCTTTCTTGTATAAATTTTTAAGTAAAAATATAGATTGTCCTGTACTATATAGGTATATGTCATTCGCAATTCCACGGTTGTCGTCTAGACATACCGTCACTTTTTCGTTGCCAATCTGTAGAACCCAAATACTGAAAAATTCTCCTATATACGCCATGTGTAATCAATATAATAGCATAGCCCACGTTGTTGATATATTTAATACCACCCTTAGTATATTATTAGATTCCGTTAATTAACTAAAATAATAATTCTCAATTTTTTTTTATTTTCACTTATGTCATGCTTAAAGTTTTTTTTTCGGTTATTATTCGCACTACATGTATATCTTACCTAATATTGTCCTAGTTTATGGAACTATTCTGTTTGGACAGTAAACTATTATTATTATTATTATTATTATTATTATTAAAATATAAGTTACGCTGAGGGGCTCATTGGTCAATGGTAGTGAGAATCTACAGAGTGTTGTATTTTCAGTGGTCATGTTCCATTTTCTACTTCTAAACCTTTTTTCGGTGCGTAAAACAAGCTTACTTTGAAGCGCATCGCTCTACTCGTAATTCGATATCGAGTACGATCATTAACTCGTACACTATTTCTGAGGGAAGACAGCATTATACACCAACTCTTGCTAACGCAATCAAAAATCGACCATTCATCGATCGGGTAACACCTCGGATAACACCAATCAATTGCATGGCGTTTAGTTACAATAACGATTCGAGTAATTATACCTTTAAGTACCTCTTAACATTAACGATTCACTTTACATTAAAACAGACGAAAAGAAAGTATCCCCTTGCTGGTTATTATATGCCCCGGTTAAATCTTGTTATTCCAATTCGTATCTAATCCCAAAGTGTCCATATGGCAGGTGAAATCGAGGATGGCTTAAATGGCTGCTTTACAAGATACTGATGAGTGAACAGGTACAGTTCGCGATTACGATGATAATTTGCACAGCAACACCCTTTTAGTTGGTATACCCTCGAACTGGGGCTGGTATTTTTCAGCGGGCGTACCTGAAAAACTCTCTTAGGGCCGGTTTTACAATTACACTTTTACGGAGAATAAGATATTCCTGGAATAACTGCCATAGCACCATGTATGCCATTGGTTGACACAATGGTAACCAACGCAACCGTCGACTTTATTCTAGGTATAGCTTATTCTCGGTATATACCTTCATTGTAGAATTGGCCCTTAAAGTACACCTACCTCTAATCCACGAGACGGTTCTCAGAAAATGAAGATTATCAGCGTAACGATGATGAATTAATTCATTTGCGTTGGCTTAATCGTCAGATTGTAGAAGTTTAAAAACAAGGCACCAAGATAACGCCGGTAATCAACATGGCAAGCTACTAACCAAGTGTGAAATGATCCAATTATATCCTCATAACGAGACAAGTGTAATTCGAGATATAGCTCAATCTTCGAAGTCACAAAAATACAGGTGAATCGTCAAAAGCTTCTAATTTAATATACAATCCTTAAAGGAATGCCCACAAATAATTACATTAAAGAAAAGTGAAAGGGAGTTGCCAATCCCTGCGCGTCAGATTTTACGTGGATGCACTGCATCGATAGGTGGAGCCCTCTATCAAACCGCTTTAGATGTTACAGGGGTTCTCCGACATCGAATAATATTGTGAACAATAATAACGAGTTCTTCGTAATGAATGAAGAAAATGATCATTTCCGTTACAACCGAAAGTGTCACCAACTTGAAAATATTTGAGATGAATTCCTCTATTATTGTACTGTCAAATTTTCGAAATATTCCGAGATTAAGTTTTCGAGATATACAGGGTGTATCATTAATATTGCGAAAAAATTCAGGGTGAGATTCCTTGCATAAAACTAAGAATAAAAGTTCATATAAACATGTTTCCAAAAATGCCTCGTTTCCGAGATACAGGGCGTTGAATATTATGCAATTGAAAATAAAACTTTTTTGTTTCCTCTGCATCAGCACTTGTCGGATCACTCTATCGAGAGTGCCATTGACTTTTTATATGAAAGTCGTTACTTTACAGCGATTTGACAGTTGTTAGGTTTCTTTTTCAAAATGAATTACGCAAATAGTGAAATGTGCGATATGCATTTTTGTTACATGTTTATATGAACTTTTATTCTTATTTTTATGCAAGGAATCTCACCCTGAATTTTTCGCAATATTAATGATACACCCTGTATGTAGATAGTCGACATTCGTCGTAGAACCCCCTGTTTATCATTTACAGTTATTATTTATGCAAATTATCATATTGCCCACACAGTTTACGAACCCCACATTATTCTCTCTTAATACTAAAAATTCTAAATAGTAAATCCTAATGTTCGCGTCCCAATGTCCGCGTCCTAATGTCTGCGGTCTACTTCCTTTGCGGTCTATTGTCTTGCGGCCCAATGGCGGCGTTCTATTTATCTGCGTCCTAATGTCTGGCGGCCTAATAGACCGGGAGATGATGACACTTTTTGTGGTGTGATTTGCTACAAGTATGGCGACCATTCAAAGGTTTAATTAAGTACTCCTCAAAACGAAAATGGTGCTAACTCTCTGGGAGTGAGGCCGTTATTGCGTGACGATTGTTTAAACATGTCGGAAAATTGAATGATTTTGGACAATTTGCTACACAAAATTCTTTGGATTTTCTGGTAGTCGGTGACAAAGCAAATGACGGAAACGAAATGCCATACTTTTCCGGTGGGCCTTATAGCTCGCCATACTCATTTGAAAGTGTCGATTGTTTGTATTTTTTTTGGGTGATTTGCTACAGGCTCATTTTTTATGAGCATCAAGTCCTCAATCAGTCATTCACGAAAATCAACCTGCCATACCGCAGCGACGGGCCCGCATAGCCGCCATACCGGCACAAAGATGTCATTTTTGTTAATAATTTTGGGCGATTTTCTACACCCTATAAATTTTTCCACCAGTTATTTTTATAGGCAGAAATAGAAAGTTCGATACGCCATACCTGTGGCATGGGCCAATTATGTATATTTTTTCAAAAATGTAAGAATTTTCCGAAAATTTGGGCGAATTGCTACAGTATGACACCAATGTTTCGTGACAGTTTGAGGTGTAATAAAAGTAAATATCAAGTTTCAAACATGAATCCCAGGCCAATCTTGTTTTATCACGAGATGTTATGTCGCTTAATATTCTCCGCCCCACTCGAACTTCTTAGTCAAGTTGAAGAGGTTCCGGTCGGGGTTGTTGTGTTCTGCATTGCATTCAATGGATCGCAGGTAGTAGATAGTAGCTGCCTTCAAGTTTATACTACCCGCCATAAGTATCTGAATACCCAGTGGCTTTGATCAATTTTGATAAAATTTTCAGGGCAGTTGTATTTATTCCGAATAAAGAAACGATGAAAATTTGAACATTATACAAATTAAAATAACACTAATAATAATAATAATAATAATAATAATAATAAACGTTTAAACAAATATAGCAAACGAGCTCCTGGGTATGGCTATAGCAGTTCAAGACCAAATTTTGCACCTCTAAGTGCATATAGGTATCAAATTTCATTTAGATGCTTTCATAATTAAGAAAGTTGGCACTGTGCATCTAAAATACCAATCAACATAATTTTATATATTTTATATATTATTATAGTCATGAATATTACGGATGGAAGTTAACGCACACAGATAATTATGAATTTAATTGGTTCGACGGCGACGACATGCCCACTACGCCACTACTGTCGGATATATCATTCTGGATCGCATTGACCAAGAGAATGAAAATCAAATCGATTTGAGTAGTGTCGAGGGCAATGGGAACGAAACAAAAGAGACCCATGACGATGTTGAGGAATCCGATACCGATGACGAGTAATTGTTAAACGCGAGTACGATATTATATCTTGTCGGGATAAGTTAATCAATTTAGAACAATTTTATTATTCTTTTGAATGGATTGTGTTACCAATTTTTAATAATAAAATCATTTTTCTGAAGCTCGCGAGAAAGTCGTTTTCAAGGTTTCTTGCTTGTCCCAGTTATAGCACAAAGATGTTTTAAGAAAACAGATTTTCGAGTATGGCACCATCTTTAGCCTTCATGACGAGTATGGCACATATACCATGGGTCAATGTGGAGCATGAACTTTCGGAAAATCCAAATGCCATACTGTAGCAAATCGCCCAAAATTATTAACAAAAATGACATCTTTGTGCCGGTATGGCGGCTATGCGGGCCCGTCGCTGCGGTATGGCAGGTTGATTTTCGTGAATGACTGATTGAGGACTTGATGCTCATAAAAAAATGAGCTTGTAGCAAATCACCCAAAAAAAATACAAACAATCGACACTTTCAAATGAGTATGGCGGGCTATAAGGCCCACCGGAAAAGTATGGCATTTCGTTTCCGTCATTTGTTTTGTCACCGACTACCAGAAAATCCAAAGAATTTTGTGTAGCAAATTGTCCAAAATCATTCAATTTTCCGACATGTTTAAACAATCGTCACGCAATAACGGCCCCACTCCCAGAGAGTTAGCACCATTTTCGTATTGAGGAGTACTTAATTAAACCTTTGAATGGTCGCCATACTTGTAGCAAATCACACCACAAAAAGTGTCACCATCTCCCGGTCTATAATGCCCGGTCATCGTTTTTCTCTCAACAAGCTTAATATCATTTTTTGAATTCACTTATTCCTACTGTAAGTACCCAAGAAGACTAATAACTATTCTATTTCCACTACTTTTAAGTTTTATGTATACGAAAAGTTGTAATTCTTTGTTAAATATCAGGTTCAACAAATTCTTACCGTAAAAATTTAAAATTTATTTACTCACTTGTCTATCTGGCGGCATACCTAGAACAAAATAATTCAAATTAATAAAATCAATACCACAAGGGCGACATGAAAACAACAGTACATAAATCTTTCAGTGGCGCTGGCGTACACTAATAGTAAGTTGTCCTCGATTATAAACATTTTGATCTACATCTTTGAATAATTCCAATCTTTAGTTTGGGTGCCGTAGGAGTGATATTCATCCCTCAAAGCTACTTCCGTCTAGTATCGACTTGCATAACAAACACGAGCCTTCATTTTATTGCCTTCAATAAAGCATAATTATACTAATTGTGTTCATTTGTACCGAAAGGGTGGCGCCTAAGCAATCCCATAGTGTACTATAAAATCCGGCAACACCCTAGCAGTGGTCGCAAAGAACTGAAAGTGTTGTTTTCTACATTGAAAATTATCAAGTTATTAGTATTTTCCTCAAAATGAAAAATCGCTATTGGCTGCACTTTGACGTCCGTCCGTCCGTCTGTCCGTCACACGTACTCCTTCTAAACCACTGAACCGATTTTGGCGATATAGGACTCATTTGAAAGGGCTTGGTCCAAGGATTCCGCGCATACCCATATTTTTTGGTTTTGCGCATGCGCAGTGTCAAAAATTTGATTTAACGCATGTGCGATGCTAACTTTTTTTATTTATGAAGATATTTAAATGAAACTTTATATGTAAACACTACGAATATAAGTAAAATTAATGACGTTTTCAAAATGTTGTTTTGCGCAAAAATTTGGTTTAACGCATGTGCGATGCCAACTTCCTTATTTACTGAAGCATTTTAAATGAAATTTAATACATAGGCACTTGGAATACAAGCAAATCTAAGGCGCGGTTCTCACTGGAGCGATACGATAAGCGATGCAACAGGCGATTCGATAAGCAACCCGATCCTGATTCGACACCGATCACTCATAATCGTGCAAACGTAATGGAAGCAACTTATCTGGTACACACTGGAGCGATCGCGATACTACACCGATAATTATCGGAGTCGCGTCGGGCGGGAGACATAGCTGCCGGGTCGCTTTGAGCGCATATCGTTCGACACGTCCGATTAATCATGCCGGGTCAGCAAGAAGACGTGCAATCCTCTATTTCCTTCGTGAAATTGGTGGAGCAGAAAGCGTGTTTATGGAACTATGCATTGAAAAGTTATAGCAGGACTGATTTGACAGGTGTTACGTGA